ATATAGCGGCATTAATGCAGCTGCTATAATTATAAATGGTATCTGTTTTGTTACTTTATATATTCCTGATCCTACATGCCAAATATATTCACAACTAGAACAATTATTTTCAATTTTACCTAAACCTTTTCTCGTAATGGGCGATTTTAATGCTCAACACCAATCGTGGGGCAGTTCTACTTCTAATTTTTATGGTGGAAAACTCCTGACGATAATTGACACTTACAACTTATGTATTATTAACTCAGATGTACCAACACGTAGAACTGCACCGAATGAAGGGTTTAGTGCTCCTGACATTTCAATATGTTCTTCTGATTTAGCTTCTTCACTGTCGTGGTATCCTCATTCCTCTACTTTCGGAAGCGATCACTTTCCCCTCATTCTTTCTTTTCCAATTTCCATTCCCTCAAGTCGAAAGAGTGGTCCTCGGCTTAAATATAATTTATCAAATGTAGACTGGAATATTTACAAACAATATTTAGATAATAAAATATCGGAGTTACCTATTGTTTACCATGGAAATGAACATCAATGTTGTAATGACTTGATGATAAATATGAAGGAGGTTGCTGATTTATTATTTCCTGTTAAAAATAGTGCTTCAGGGAAAATTCCCTCGCCACCTTGGTGGGACAAAGATTGTACGGAAGCAATTAAAAATCGTAAAGAGGCTGAAAAAAATTATAATAATTACATGACACCAGAAAATTTTGAAATTTACACCGCAGTTTCACGTTCTACTCGAAAACTACTGAAAAAAAAGAAATTAGAAGGCTGGAGAAGATTTTGTTCTTCTATCTGTCCAGAAGTTAATTCATCAGTCGTTTGGAATAATATTAAAAGATTCAGATCTGCCTTTAGTGATCATACATCACGTTCTGCACTCGATTTAACTTTAGCGAATAAATTTTTAGATCGTCTTGCTCCTAGTTATGTGCCGGAATGCCTTTACAATATTTCTCTATCCGTCTCTGACGAATTATTCGAACTTGACTCTCCTTTTACTCTAGTAGAACTTAAAGGTGTTCTAGCTTCTATTAAAGACTCTGCACCGGGAGAAGACGGTATACCGTATTCCTTTTTAAAAATGCTAGCGATGCGACATTAATTTACTTTTTAAATATAATTAATTCCATAATTATTTCGGGAAATATACCTACTTCATGGAAGTCTCAGATTATTATACCATTTCTAAAGCCTCATAAACCACCTTCTGAACCATCTTCATACCGTCCTGTTGCACTTTCCTCTGTCTTACTAAAGCTAGCTGAACATTTAGTGAAAAACCGTCTAGAATGGTTTTTAGAAAGTAATAACTTACTATCCCCGAACCAGTTTGGTTTTAGGAAAGGTAAGAGCACCTTAGATAATGTGAGCATTCTTATTTCAGATATTCATATAGCTTTCTCACAAAATTTGTCAATCCTCTCAGCCTTTTTAGATATAAATTCTGCCTATGATAATGTAATAATTTCTATTTTAAAAACTAAATTACAAGCTCTAAATGTACCGGTAATGCTTTCTAATTTCATTATTAATATTTTATCAGAAAGAACAATATATATGAATTTAGATGAAGATACCAAATTATCTAGAACAGTATGGAAAGGCCTTCCACAAGGATCTGTTCTCAGTCCAATCTTATTTAACATATACACATACGATCTAGAATTATTCCTTGATAAATCCGTCAAAATTTTACAATATGCTGATGATCTTTTATTATATTTTATTGCGAAGTCCATAGAATCTGCTTCTGCCAAATTATCTGATTCATTAGATTTGTTAAAAACGTGGTTAGATGCAAATGGTCTTAATCTTTCTGTAACCAAGAGTAGTGTAGTTTTGTTTTCAAGAATGAGATCACCGCAACAAATTAAGGTGCTTTATGATAACTCATACATTCCTATAAAGACTGAAATTAAATTTTTAGGTATCGTGCTAGATAATAAATTAACAGGTCTGTCCCACTGTAATTATATTTCTACGAAATGTGAGCGTAACCTCAACATTCTTAGGTGCCTTGCTGGAGTTTGGTGGGGAGCACATCCCGTTTCACTAAAACTTGCTTATAATGGTCTTATAAGGAGTGTCATTGATTATGGAACTTTTTTGTTAGCTCCAGGAAGTTCATTTGCTTTTAAGAAATTGGATTTAATTCAATCAAAGGCCTTGAGGATTATCTCTGGAGCAATGAAATCAAGTCCAATCAATGCTTTACAGCTCGAAGTCGGTGATCCACCTTTGGTTTTAAGAAGACAATATCTATCTGATCGCTTCTTTTTTCGTTGTTTACAATTATCTGATCATCCGCTTATTCAAAAGTTATCTCAACTACATATCTTTATTTCGTCTTCATCTTATTGGAAACATAAAAAACCTCCATGTTTAATACAAAGTTATGAAAAATATAAATCCATAGAATCTCCCACTTTTACATCGTCCTGTTTTCCCATTTATAAATGCTCATATCAATCTTTAGTTTTATCTCCTAATATTAAATATGATTTTGGGTTATTAAAAAATGATTCAGAATTGAATGCCAAATTTATGTTTATAACTGACATTGAATGGAATGAATGGCACTACATCTTTACTGATGCATCAAAACCAGACAATAGCGGTTGTGTAGGTGTGGGTGTGTTTCATTCACAATTTAATATCGTTCAAAAAATTAAACTTCCACCGGAGTCTTCAGTTTTTACCGGGGAATGTTATGGTATTTTAAAAGCTGTAGAATATATACTTTTAATGAAATTACATAAGGCAATAGTTTTCACTGACTCTATGAGCTCTTTGCAAGCTCTAGCCAAATATCCGTTTAAATCAAAACCAGTTTATCCCATTATTTGTGACATAAGACAAAGTCTTTATCTTTGCATGTTGAGAGGTTATTCCGTTTCTTTTGCCTGGTTACCAGGACACAGTGGTATTAGCGGCAATGACAAAGCTGACCTTATTGCAAGAGAGGCTGTAACTTGTGGTGATATGTATCCGTATCATAATTACTGTAGTGACCTAGCTTGTCTCCCAAAAATATATTTAAGGTATGCCTGGAAGGAATATTGGGAAAAAACAAGTACAATAAAAGGAAGATTTTATCGCCTTATACAACCCGATATTCCTTTCAAACCATGGTTTTGTAAATTAAAGCTTGGAAAGACCGCAACAACTATTATAACTCGTATGCGTCTAGGTCACGTATGCACACCTTCTCATTTATACAAGCTTGGTATTGTACAAAGTTCGTCGTGTAATTGCGGTGCTGAAGTGGCGGACTTGAATCATATATTCTTCTCATGTTCTAAATTTGACCACACCTCCCTTTTTAATCATCTCCGATCCATCCGTGTTCCATTCCCAACTTCTATTCTTACTCTACTTTCTTCCAATGATCCTATTATCTATAAAATACTATCTTCATATATATATGATAACAATATTAAGATTTAGTTATATTACATGAATACATTTATAGTTGCATCAATTGCTTTTCCTATATATTTATAAGTATATTCTCATATGTACAAGTATATGTTTCATATCCTATAAATATCCTAGACCTAATCCTTATCCTTTCTAAATTCGTTTGTGTTAGGTATTTTTATTACTATTATCGTTTCCCCGTTTTGCTCTTGGCAAAATACCCTAATATCGGGGTGAACGCCACAAAAAAAGAAAAAAAAAAAAAAAAAAAAAAGATAGTTATCAATGTGAATAAAAAATAATAAGTAACAAATTTATCTAAATTAAATCGTATAACATTGGAAGAAAGTCTAAAATTACTGACAGCACTGAATATTTATTTGTCTATGGATAAGGCACGTGACAATGACAGCTGGTAGATTATAATCTGTGGGTGGCTACAAACTTTCCGCAATGCACGTGAAGTTCCGATAGGTGGTGCGCGTGCAGCATTCATTTCCGATAACTTCTTAACTGATCTAGTGAAAAAAAAATAATGTCTGTCTTTTGGGTATATTTTCTAAAAGGTTTCTAGGTACGTACAATTCATCTTAAGTAGATAATTATTAATAATAGGTATTATTATTTAAATATTGTTTGTAGGGATAAGTCAAAATTGGCAATTCTCTAGTGATGCTTCTGGTATTGTGGGTGGTCTATTTTTTTTTTTTGTAATATGACCCTATCAGCTGGATGGCATGGTTAGATATCTAAAAATAATTTAAAAATTTACAATAAAATTATTGTTATATGTAAACATCAAAATTGTTTAAAAATTTTTAAGTACATATATATTTTGTATTTTGGAAAATCTGCACGAATATCTTATTATTTTTAAAAACTTTTAATTTTAGTATCAATTCCATCTTCAATATTGAAATAATATCTAAAGATCAGGCTGTATGGCTTAGTTCCTTTGCCTTTCCCATTGTGGATAAATTAATAGTACTATTACTTGAAATAATAATGATATATTTTAAGTAATAAAAGCATAACATATGAACAGAAAAAAAGTAAAAGAAGAAAAGTATAAAAATATATTACTGGCCAATTAGAAATTAATAAACATTTCCATTTACAGAGAATAATAATGTTCTTATTTTGAAATTATGGCGCGTCTATTATTTTCTATAGAAATTAAAAAATAATAGACTGCGATGTATTCTGATTAGATACTTAAATATAATTAGTGGAAGATATCTCGAATTATTTTAATTATATAATACGAAACGAGTAAGGTAAATAGTTTCACTTAGAGTAATTAGATCCAGCTTTGAGGTATGACTCCAAAAATAGGCTGTAAATCTAATACTGTAAAATACCTATTGTATGCACTTATGGAAATTTATTATTATTTTCTCTAATTGCAAAAGTTTGCGATGTAGTTCAACTAGGTAGTATTTGATAAAATTTGCAATTTTTATTGCTGTGTATTATGCCATCGATATAATATTATATAGGATCGTAAATTACTAGGATTAGTGGAAATTTCTAGATTTAATTTCTAGGTGCATGTGAACGCACCTGCTCAGCGGCGTCACCTGCCGGCAACTCCAAACACGGCTCTCTTGGAATCACAATCATTGCTCCGTAAGTATCTAGACAAACATGATTTGGCAAACAGACCACGTAATTACAACTATGATTTTTTTGTGATTGTTTGTAAAGGAGAAGGTAGTTAATGTTTCATTGGCTTATTAGTATAAGATTATCTATAGGTAATTATGAGTTGAGTAACCTCGAAGTAAAGGCGAGTAGCAGGTATCTATGTAGGAACATCGAACTGCTTTGTTGTAGTAATTTTTCTAAAGAATTGGTTTTGTAGTCATAAATGTTATTACATTGTACACACAGTTAAGTAGCTTTATTGTATTGAAAGGATTTATATTCCAAGACTGATATTTAAAGTGTTAACAATGTACTTGCTGGTATTTATAATTTGATTTAATTAGACTTTATTTAGATAATATGAGAATAACATAGTTTTAAGTTAGATTAAAAAAAATATAGATTACGATAACTGTATTGTTTGTGCGTAATATAGCTTTTATGAATAGAAAAAAAATCTATAGAATTAAGATATAAAAGGTCATCATATTGTTTATTTTTTGTTTGATATCCAACAAAGAGTAATTTTAATTGCTGGGGATGAGAATTTCACATATTAATTACCCACTAAATGAGCGACGCACTTCGTTAGAATGATTATAAACTAAAGGGTTGAACGTAGGTACTTTAGTGCTATTGTTTCTTTGCTATAAATCTTATGTACCGTAATTATAACGTTTAATATGTGACAGTTGTATTGTGCGCATGTAAATGTGCTCCTGCGCAAACGCGGCTGAAGTGGGGTGGGAACGGAATACGGTCCGACAATATTGGAACGCAACGGGACGCCACTTCACTGCCGGCACTAGATTGCTGTTATTAATTTTGTCCTATAATTATAACATTATATGTTATACATGTCTTAATTATTTTATATTAATTAAATAAAGAATTAGTTGGCTATTGGAAGTACAACGTAGTTATGTTATTAGGATATGTATAGTTTTTAGCATTCGGCTCTATTTTTCTAAGTATTCACCGGAACCGTATATGAAAATATGAACATCGAGAAAATAGTAATGTTCAAATTTAAATATATATAATATAAGAAAATTAGTAGATATATTACCTACTATAAAATAATATTTAATTCTAGAAAACAATTGACTGTCTGATATTGAGACGAGAGTAAATTGTCTGTTAAAAAACCTTGAAATCGATTCAGAACTTATGTACTAGATACTAGAACTAGTAAATAAAAATAAGATTTTTTGCATATTTATATAAATTTATAATAATGAGTTGTAATTTAATGCAAGACTATAATATTTTATTACTATGTTTAATTATGTACATCAGAATGAATAGTTTAAATATAGTGGATTTTTTGTCAAAGAAACATGATTATAATATAGGTACTTCAATACAGTATACCTCTACCTCTTCGATACTTATTATATCAATTGGAGACGTATTTCGATCACTTAGAATTGTAAGTATTGTTTTGAGCACAAAAAGTAAGTAGCCACTCTATTGTGAGAAACTGTTACCATTGTTGCCAGCCGCGAATCAACCCTATGAGGATGTGGGCACTTGTGGCGAATATGGGTAGATTTTACATTATGAAAATTGTAACTTTTTTTTCGATAATTAATGTAATTTAAATTTAGAATATAATTTTAATGAGTATAAATAAATTATGTTTGAAATTAATTATTATTAGAGTTTTTGTACAACGATGGTGGCGGTTGAGTATAGGTATAAGAATAAGTTTTCTTGACAATAGGTGGCAACCGTGACCCGTAAACGCTTGTAACATTAAAAACATTCGTTACGTTGCCAACTCTTATGGCATGTCGATTTTGAGTCGTAATACTCAGTTTTTTAACTACTATTATTCTACTATTTCAATTGGAATATGATGTGAAAGCAAGCCTTGCAAAACGGTTGTACAAAATTTTACAAAATACAAACCTGTTGGTCGTCGTACGTTGGTTGTCGGTTGTACAAAATATACATACCTGTTAAATTTTATCTAAATCATTAGAGCCCTGGTTGCGTTTACTTTACTTGATGGTTTAAATTATTTTGTAAAGCGTTAATTAATATATTAACAATATCGAGAGTTAATGTAATATTGTAACCATCAGCTTTCATGTCTTTCTTGTATTGGTATGTATAGCAAATATATACTTACCTTTAGATGTTTATATTTTTTACGTATTTATCAGCTATCATAGCGGCTGCCTTTATTTGTCCGTAGTACTTAAACATAAATCATTATAAGGACTAATATCATTACAATACTGGGACGATAACATCTCAGTATACCAAAGTCTACTCAACCATTGGATTTTAATAGTAGCCAAATTCAAGTTCAATAATAAGATATTAAAATAACGTTTGAGCAGTCAATTAGGTGGCAACGTATCGTCCATCGCGATATCCCGATGGTGGTCCATTGTGGTCCGGCACCCCGCGGCTAGCGGCGGCATCCACTCGTCGCATGCACAATGCATCCAATGTGTTTCCTATTTTTATAACTGTTTCATTAAATATCGCTTCGCTGACCATTCAAGAGTTTCGATATTGTGGGAAGTTAGTAACACCCGAATAAGAGTCTTATAGTATTTGTAGCTAATCAGCAAGATAGGCTTAGGTTTATTTTATTTAGTTTTGTCACTATTTAGTAGATAAAATATCTATAGATTACTATGAGAAAAAATAACTCACTCTGTAATAAGTGAGATTGGCTTAAAAAAGAAACGAATTTCTGCTAGGTAAATAATAGTCAATAAATAAACTATAATAATAAGTGTGTTATATCACCTCTTAAATTATACATTTATTCTTTCACGGTAAAAGTTCTGTCTTAAGTTATACAATTAAATTTTGAACAACGATGAAGAATATAAAAATTTTATGTTCCTCCATTTTTTCATAAATTATGTGGTTTCTGTAACCCTAAACGTTGGTTTGACAACCAAATAGTCTTCAAACGGTAAATCATAATAACGAAACGACCTTATCAAGATGATATCAACAAGAGCTGATGGCGATAAAAAAGAATGGCGAATAACCGAGCCCCGCAGCGGCCTCCCTACTGTGGACCCTGTGGATTATTGCTTCACACCATCGTCAAAGAGTTGGGTCGCTCTCGTCTTGCGATCGTTTCGATAGATAAGTGTGTTCTCACCTCCCCGCGGTCGCGGAGTCGCGAAAGGGTTTGCCGAATAATTGCAACAATCAATTTGAAGGAGTCATCGAGAAATTTGTATGGTATTTGTGCGGGTTGTCACCCGTCGATGCTATCGGCGCACCTCGGGGTGCCTGGACTATGGCAATGGGAAATTGTTGTAATGGTTACTTTCTCACACCTCAAGTTTAATTAACTTGCTTACTGTCGTTTACATTTTTTCAAGTGACTTTATAATAATTAATCTACATACGCCTAATATTATTATTATATTTATATTGTATTAGTATTATTATTATATATATATATATATATATATATATATATATATATTGTACTTCTAAAATCACATAAACTTATTTTATTTTATAATTTTTATTATATATATATATACATATATATATATATATATATATATATATATATATATATATATATATATATATAATTATATATATTCATAATAGTTATTTGCGATGAATTAATTTGGATGCCAACCTAATTCACATTTAACCGGATTTTATTAGAATCAGTGATAATAAATCATTAAACCTCAGTTTGTCATAAAGGTTAGTTTCAAATATACAAAATCACTGTGCAGAAGTGTTGGCAAACCAAGAAATTCCAGATCGAGCCATAAGTTACCTGGAAGTCCGTAATAAGACATAAACATCAGCTCGTTGCAATATGTCACGTGTAACAAAGCGCTGCGGTAACGGTCTGCATCATTTGTCTGCCGTAACCCCGTAATTTATGATCTCCTGCCGAAGAATGAGGACAAAAACAGGGTTGCTGTTAAATATTTGCCTTGAGACAAGAGGGAGCGATAATTCGAAGCTATTATGACGTCATTTCACGCCCTTTGTGAGGTCGTCACGTCGTGTCATCTGCTTCTCGAGACGCCTGCCCCAACTATCTCTCGATTAAATCTATTGTGTCATTTTTTTCACATCGCGCTAGTCGGATGCGCCACCGACGACGATCTTGTCCCGTTCGCTTGTTCGCTCAACTTTGCTATAAAAACACTCGAGGATCTGTCCTATTGTCTCGTGGCTCTTTTACGAGCTCCGTTTTGTGAATCTGTTATTGTTTGCGGTTGATAAACATCTCGCCACTGGGTAGGTAGGGATCATCACCACTTTTGCCGGTAGTTCATTTTAATAGAATCGCAATGGACTTGTTCATCAATTGTTGTTTTGAAGGTTGTTTAAGATATCAAATACTTTTTTTACAGAATGGATTTAATGAATAAAGAGCTATTGGTGTTGACGAAAGATATAAGATCGAAGCCAGTAGTCACATTTAGACAAGATTCAAAGTTGGCAACGGCGATTGATAAGCTTTTTTGTGGTGATCAACATGGGAATGTTAATGAATTTGTTAAAGGGCAGTTAAAGTTACCTGATAGGAAATTGGAGTTCAGTGAAGTTCAGCAACTTTTGAAGCAATCATCGAAAGAATGTTTGTATTTAATTATTATAATGATTGTATCATATAATTGAAAAGAGGTCAAATTAAGAGTACACTATTGGAACATATTCTTGATTTCATTTATATAGTTTGATATGTATGAATATGTCAAACTATATTATAATATATATTTAAATAAAATTGTTTACCATCAGTCAAAACGTATACGTGTCTGGCACTTTCGTGGTATAATAAAATTAGGTGCATAGGTATAAATGCCATAATAAGTAATAATAACCTGACTGATAGGAGTAAAGACCTTAATATTCTTAAATGATCTAAACGATATTTAAAGTTCCAGAAAAATCGTCAGATGTCTCGTTAAAAAGGAACGAAGCTAGGAAATCCCTCATAAGAAAAATAGAAGTAATTCTTAACGATGTCAACAAAAGTGCAGGTGCTGGTAAAATTCCCAAGATGGTAATAAGAAATCAGAGACTGTGGAGTAATTGTATATACGATTTAGATCGGTAAAATAATGAATTGTTAAGTATTTTATTTTTACCGTTTAATAATACATCATAACATTTCTATATTTTTTTCAGAGTAACATTAAAATCTTTTAATGATGCTAAAAAATCGACACTTATATATTCAAGTAAAGAAGACAAAACTAGATTCAATATAATTATTTTTGTCTTAACAAAAGTACACGAACTGTTATTAAAAAACCTGATTGTAACAAGAAGGTAACGTATTTGCTCCGTCATTTTCATTTTAGTATTTCGAATCTAATTTTAAATAATACAACTTTTTGCATGGTCTGAGCTTAAATTATTATTAAAATGTCTACTTTAAAATAAAGCTTCTAACGAATTTATTCAGGTGAAATTGTATGATTGCGATGAAAAAATTTTAACATAAATTCATAAGAAATATTAATGTTAATTTTGATTTCTAATAATAGAGTTTCTTTATAAATTTAACGGAATAATGATCAAAATTGATCAGGATGTGACAAGGTTAAATATGTATTAATAGTAATGTATGAGCAATTTGTGTTAAAATAGTAAATATTTTGGATGTTAACTGCGCAACTAAATATGTATTACTGATCAAAGTATCCTTCAATAAAAATACTGTTTCTTTTAATCATATTAAAATCTCAATGTTAAAGGGAGCTGTTCTATCAGAACGTGATGAGATTCCGTAACCAAACTAATTTAGATATAGCAGTTAGAGATGTATGTTGTTTATTGGAAACACCACCTTGGAGTCTTGGTATTGTTGCTACAGCTAAGGGTTTAATCGCGGGCCCCCTTACAATGTGCAATAGAGACGGAACTATAGTTGACTGTACTACTTTAGGGGGTAAGTATTGCAGTTATCCAATTGCATTTGGAAATATTTATGCAATTTAAATATCAAGGGAGCTTGCGAACAAATTAATGGAATATAAGTTTGTATATAAAATGTGTCGTAAAATTTCTACAATAACGCTAACATATTACATAAAAAAAAATTATCTTCAGACTGAAACAACAATAAGATAGTGGTATATAGCTACCACTAGGTATAGGCAAACCATTGTATGGTAAGTAAAAAGGACTGAGTGTCTCTTCCTTATGTGTATTGTACTATGTGTTCATCTCTTGTTTCATCCATTTCAAGAGAATGTATTAATTTAAATTTAATTTGATATATTGAAGAAAATTAAATAAAAAAGGAAATCCTTATTTTTATTAATATGGTAAATGTAAAAGAGAGTATATTTATTACCTTTGTTTCTTCGTTTACCTAACTATAAAATTTCTGGTTATTTAGGAACGTTAATACCTCAAGACGTAGAAGGCATTAAGGAATTTAAATCATCTGCGAAATATATTTTGGTTGTTGAAAAAGACGCAATATTTCAGAAGTTACTGGATGAAGGAGCTCTCGTTAGATTAGGCCCAGTTATTATAATTACGGTGACTATGGAATTGTTAATAGTATATAAATTGTTACTGATAATAATTTATATTTATTGTTGTTAACTTTTTATTATTAGATTGTTAAGTTGCGTCCACGCGGTTACTCTGGAAATCATCGTAATTGATTCCTGGCGAATTGATCATGACATGTCAACTGATTTGACTTCATTCTCACTTACTGGTACTCTGTACCAGCGTAAACAGTACAGGCGTATTTAATTTTGGGGTAGCTTATACCCATTTCAGATTTGTCCAGTCCAGATTGAAAACGAAGCTTTCATCTATTGGCTAAGTTCTTATGTATAAACAAATTAGCCATACATAACTACTTTTTTAAGGGGCCAGGTCCGTTCTGGAAAATAATTTTAAATACGCCAAACAGGCAGAGTTATCATTCCATTATCACGCATTAAAAATTAAGTTTTTTTTTAATAATTACTTGTAACCCTGCTTATGCTTTCGGTATACAGTGGCGAGCCATCAGTAAGAGATGATAGGTGAGAATAAAAGAAGGTAAGTTGCCTTATTGTGACAATTTCATCAAAAATTATACACGATGGTTTGCAGGGGGACTGCGTGAGTATATTGCTATCAATGGGTCGTTAGTCTCCGTTACTAGCAATATTTTTTTCCACCAAAGTAGGTGTTTATTTCTTCAAAGAAATAATTACCTTAGTACAACTATAATTTAATGCAGGGTAAAGGTTATCCAGATGTATGTACCCGCCAATTGCTGTGCCGCTTGTGTAACGAATTACATCTGAAGGCACTAGCACTGGTAGATGCTGATCCACACGGATACGAAATATTTCTTACTTATAAGTATGGATCCTTGGTAAGTAAAATAAATAATAAATAAGTAAGCAAGTAATTGCCATGTGTACTTTTGTAATACTTGTAATAAAGACATAGAATGGGCCGTCCCTTCTTTTTCTGTGGCTGTCGTAAAAGGACTATGGGAACTTAATGGTTGAGGATGGGCAGAGTTTCTCTTTAAACAACACAAAAGCTTAACTGCGGTTGTCAACCAGCCTGCCAACCGTAGCAACCACTAGCAAAACCTTCCTTATGGAGGAGGCCTATGCTCAGCAGTGACAGTCAATGGCTGATAATGATGATGATGAAGTAATTGTAAAATTTATATATTGCTTTTGTTAACATTGATGTATAGGGTATTGTAATAGAATATTTCTTAAATAAATAACATCTAGATAGCGTAAGAAACTACTACATATATATAAAACACTACGAAAAAACAGCGTAACTTTATTATAAATTGTATTAGATTCTTAATTGGTGACTTAATGCAGGAAACGCACGAACGATCACTTTACTTATTATCAATATTATACCTCTGTCCCATTCGTGTTTCAACCGTGAAACAGTTATGTTTGCATGGCTGTTTTTCGGTTTGAAGGGTGAGATATGGCGTGAATTTACTGGGTACAGAGGAATAACACCTCAGGAATGGCAACGCATGGGGGGTATCATGGACGAAATAGTATACTCTGTTATATCCATGGTACTGCTCATATCTATAGGCGACGGTTACCACATATAGATAAAAGTACTAAAGTATCTAAGATTTAAGTAATTAGTATATTTACTCTTTATCTATTTATATGCAAATGTTTTAAAATTCAAAGGTATAACTACTACTTTACTGCTTATACTAAAGTGCTAGTAAAATTATAATATTGCACTATGTTTGACGTATATTAAATTCATGCTTTTGTTAAGTAGTAGAGTATACACTGCAAATTTTTAATTATCTTTGTTTATGGCATTTTTTCACATATATTTAGGCTCAGTCTCACTTATCATCGTCCCTTGCCTGTACCTCTCTAATGTTGCTGGGGGCTTGCATCCAAGACGTGATGACTTTAGGTTCGAATGAAGCGAGGCTGAAACTCACTGACCTTGATAGAAGAAAACTTACAGCTTTAATAAAAGACCTTATTTGGAGACAAATACTGGTAAATAAAATAATAATAATAAACACCACACCGTTAGCTGTGTGGTCCCGGCATAGAGTAGTCCACCCCTTGCTTTCTCGTGGGTGTCGTAGGAGGTGACTAAAAGAGCTTAATTGTCGAGGGCTGAGCAGCAGCGTCTCTCTTTAAACATTTCCAAAGCCTAACTGCAGTTGCCAACCAACCTGCCTAATCGTAGCAACTACTGAATAAACTCCCCTTACGGGGGAGGCCTATGTTCAGCAGTGGATATATAACAGCTGATATAATGATGAAGTGCCACACAATCACGCTAAAATAATACAAAATGGATATGTATAATTAATTGAATAGTTTTTTAGTGCATAATATTAATCAGTTTACGAAGTTTTATGTGAAACGTATCGTATCATTGTGGAATAGGTTTTCTCTTTGTTCTATCTAGGGTCCCTCAAACCTAGCGCATTTTTCTCGTTACATTTGCGTTAGCACTTAGCATAGTGCGACCAACCATTGAGAGCAGAACATTTTTTTTTTGGTTGATCGCATTCATGGACCATAATTGTCCCTGTATTCGCTCCTGGTTACATCTCGTTTTATTATAAAAAAAAAAAACAATGATCCTTCAAAAGAAAAAAGTTCTTAATGCATTTGAATTTTTAGTGTGGATTTGTTATTACGTCATCTATTCTGAAAGATTTTTATTAAATCTTTTAGTATTTGGTAGGATTTACTCCCATATCAGTCTTATATTAATTTTGTGAGGATTGAAGATGTTTTTTTTTTGTGGAACAAATAACCATTGTGGAACAAATAAAATAATGTGGACAAAATTAATATTGTGAAGAAAAATCTACGTTCTGAATTCAAATACTTTAAATCTAATGTGTCTACAAAACAACTTCGTATTTAATAGACGTGTGTTTTAAGTATATTCACTGTTGTTTAATTTTTTATTTTTAGGTTCTCGTTTAAAACAAGAACTAAGTACAATGTTGTCGAGTGGCGTTAAAGCGGAAATCGAAGCGCTTGCGCCGACTGCTGCAGCGTTGTGTGATGCTTATTTACCCTCTAAAATTATTCAGGGCGACTATTTAGGGTGATCTATGAAATTTTTTTGAAACAAATAATATAAAATATTTTTTTTTTCATTGATACTAAGCATATGTAAACGTTGACACTATTACATTATACACACCTACTTAATTGTTGAAGTAAATATTTGGTATGTAAGTATAATTTCTGAAACCATATTAAAATTTGTTTGAAAGTATGTATTAACCCACTAAACAAACTAATAATAATGTGATTATTTTAAAAATAGAATATTAAAATTTCAATTTCGTTCGACTCAAAAAGGCGTTTTTAATTCAACATAGTTGTGTGCTTTCAATATTTTACGTGATATTCAAGCAAATTTTCTTGCAATCGACCAGCTTTACTTATCTTAGTTACATATTAATTTTGTAGTAGTTTTTATTTATTTGTGTTTTATTTATTAGTCACTTACCATCAGGTGAGCCGCATGCTCGTTTGCCCCCTGTGTTGTTAAAAAAATAAATAAATAAACAATATGTAGGTAATTTCTAGTAATAATTTTTAGTACCATATCATGTTAAAAATATAAAACATTGTGTAAATTGGTCAATTTCGTTCTACTAGGTATAAATTTTAGAATCTGTTTACTAAAATTTAAAGCTTTTTTATTTTTCAAACATGTATGTAGCGCTATCTAGTGGATGCTTTATGTTTCAACAAACTCTGCGGAAATCAAGCTTGAGTACCGAGGGGTGCTTAGATGCTGCTAAAAGTGTGTTATATTGACATGTTTATTGTAGATGGCGGTATGTACTAGTACCTACTTATTTCGCTATGCATAATCTACTTTGTCTAATTTTGTATTAGGTAGGTATACGTAAAAAATTACAAGTAAAATATATTGTATTGATTATGTCAGTATAGTTTGTATTTACTGAGTACTTGCGCCATCTACCTTTCTCTCTGTACTTAACCAGTATTTATACCAGGTTGTCTGTAATATATTGCTTTTAGCGATAAGGCCACCTTTTGTATATGCACATTCTGTATAAATACTCCTTGTATACATCTCTATTGTGCTCAATAAAGAGTTTATTATTATTAATATCAATATACTCATAGATCATAAGGCAGAGTGTAAATACTATTGTACTATTTTTTTTTATGCAACGTGGAATGGCAAGCTGACAGCCCACCTGATGGAAAGTGGTAACCGTCACCTATAGCAGTACCATGGACATAACAGAGTATTTTTCATAAACCATTTTCAAGCAGATATAATAACTTTTTAGTTTTATTATCATAAAAGAGACCTTTATCCATTCGATCATTTTAAAACATTAAATAAAAAAAAGTGTAAAGGTAAATTGTCAAAATGCGACAGTATTAATATATTCTTATCTACACAAAAAGAAAGAGAACTTCATGGAGCATGTAAAATATCTAAATTGTTAGTTATTTTTTGAATATGGATAATAATGATGAACAATCTAGTGAGAAAAAGTTAGTGAATAAAGCAAAATCATATAGCACACAATCACCTGCGATGAAAATAAAGAACGAATCTATTAAACGTAAATCATTTTACGTCAACGATGCGATGAAACCACTTGATTTAGCGTTGTGTAGACTTAAGAAGAGCAAATTGGTGAATGGAAACTCCAATAGTGCTCATACTAGTCGAGTTAGACGTGGAGCTGAGATGTTCATGGACGTAGATTCCAATTACAATTTTAATCAAGGTATAGACAATGCATCTTTAATTTCGATGAATTTCTCCCATTATGAGTTGATGCGTAACTTATCGCGTACTAACTGTGACTCTGACGGAGCTTACAGTGGGAGCACGTGTGACGCCTATTTGAGTGCTACTGATACGACCGTGAAGAATGAGCACTTAGAGAAATACTTCCGAAGCGCTGAGATTTGGAATAAAAATTTCAGAGACGGTGGTCCCAGTAGTGTGCATTTTAAATTACCTGAGAAATAAGTGTTTTATTGAATTTGTGGGATTTGTGATATAATATTCTAGGTAAATCGAAATAAAACTTCCCGATGAACGATTATGTAAATTTCAAAATTTTATTTATTCAAAGAAACTTTACAATAATAACAGAATAATTTCAGAATTTACAAATGAAACGTACCGATCTATACAACACTGTAACTCTTAAACGAGACGATAAGATTTATAACACTGATTAACAATAGGTAACGTAGATTTTAGATGCTTTCTAGGGCCACCAAACTGCGAGACACTGAATATAAAATTCCATTATTATAAATTAGTATAAATTAATAGTTCATAAATATTTTAATAATAAAAATATGAGACAAGTACATAAAACATCTTATTGGTAAATTTAAAATGTCAGAACAAGATTTTTAAAAGAGATAGATTTAAATAAGCGTACAGGACCTTGTTATAATAGAGCGAGTTACCACCTATTCTATTAGAACGAATCTATTCAACCTTTTCATTCAGCAATGATCCCAACACTTTTTCAAATCATCCTTTGCCTAAAGAGAGGGTTTGTTGGCTCTGACTATCAAAGTTATGCATAAGTCCTATGTTCAATAATATTGCAATTGTATATTATAATACTTTAGCCTATTTGTTGTTTGTGTTTTGAAAGTAATGGAAATAAAAGTTATATTCAGTGAAACGCTAGTTCATCAATCTAACCGCTAAGGGAGCCATCCGCAGCACTCTAAAGTTACGAAGGCGGACACTACACTGCATCTTAACTGAACTCGACATGCAAAATTACAGAGGCAATGACCTATTTCTTTGACTATTAATAAAAAAAGGGTGCCCTTTACTATATTGGGGAAAGTAAAGAGATTCAAGTTATTATAGATTATAAATCTATTAGATTGTATGATTACACTGTAAGAATATTTTCTTTTTTTGCAAGTCAAGTTCAGCGTAGCTTAATTTGCAGGGGATCCTAAGAACACAGTATTACTGATTCACATTTATACCACATCCATTGAATCTGAACAAACTAGGACAAAAATCTAAACTTATGTTATTATAGATTTTGGAGGAGAATATAAATAAATTTTAACATTGTTGACCAGAGCTGGAATATGAAATAATTGACATAGTTCATCACATAGTTCCTACTTTCCTGCTTCAAGAATAAGACAATGTTAGGGAAGCTTTCTATATACTGGAAGACTAAAGGACTATCCATTTTTGAAAAGGAAAGTGTAAGGAGTTAAGCGGCGTGCAAATGATTGTTAAATCATTTTGTGCTAATATCTAGTAACAACCCAGCATATTACCATTTTGTTTCGTTAAAAATACTATTCACGAATTAAATTGGTGTTATCCGCAGAAATTTTTTTATGTTTTAATTAATTATAGAATTTCACAAAAGATTAAAAGAATTCTTACAATTATTAAGAGCTAGCATCTGCCTTGCATATCGCGTTACATATTAGCTTATCGTTGCGTTAGAGATGCATGCGTTACAGACTCACCAATTCTACCGCATTCAAAGTCTATAAGTACCTAAATATTATAAATATGTTATGTTTATTTGAAAGTAGCATTGTTATTATATAAAATAACTGGTCATAGAAATTACATAATACATATATTATATTAAGCTCGTTGTTAAGTTCGTAGCATTCAATGGAGTCGTGTGCCCTTTTGGCAGCGTTGAAGCGGTCAAACGGTCGGTCTGTGATGCATGCCATATCTCTCACTTCATTCACTAGCAAATTGTATGATATTAATGTATTAACTAGAGAACATTTGCTAAAGAAATCAATACATACAACATGATGTAAAATTTAAAGCACCCGGTTTCCGAACTCTCTCGTATTTTATCTAACTATAAAATCTCATATGTTGTGTGATGTACACATAGCCCGTATTATATTGTCTATGTTTGTTTTACAACTTTTGGGGAACAAAGCAATATTGTTACTTTTATAATGGAAGAATTTCAAAATATTTCAATTAACATTAATCTTATAGTAATTAATTTTAATAATTACAACGAATTCGATTTCACTAGGCCCTACGTAATATCAGATGGATATTTTATTTATTATTCAATATAATTTAATTCAATAACGTTAAAATTATGCAATAGAAGAATCACAGCATCCTTAAGACCATAACGGCAATTGAAATTAATCTCATCGACGTATCGTATGTATTTTAATTAGTACAATGATTGTAAAATTTAGACCAAATTGGCAGTCTTCACAAACATGGAATGTACGATATGCGTCTATGCAGGTATCCGATAACACTTAACAAATATCGGCAAACGTTTATCTCTATACAACAACAATGAATTATCTAGTTATGTCACAGTTATGTTGAAATTAATAACAATGGTAAATCCGCATAATTTCACTAGCATTCGGTCCTTATCGTTATCCATGTGTTTTTTTTTATATACTTATCATTCTTTTACCTTCATTGCCAATCATACTTCCATATTTTTTTCTCTTTGAATAAAATACATGTAGTATTTCTTCCGTTTTGACACAATTCAAACTTGATACAAGTTTTGTAGTTTCACTTCAACACAATTTCAATGTACAAACTTTATTTATATTGAGTTTACGGATTTACAAAAAATATATTGACTGCCTACACATTGCTGTATTTATCTATGAGAAAGGCAAATTTTCTAGCTCAATTTAAGTTATTTTGTACAAGCTTATTACTCAAAATATACCAGTTTTGAGTTCTACAGTGAGATAATTTTCACTGACTACAAATTTTAAGATTGTTTCCGCTATATTATGAGATTTACTTGGTAGTATTCTAGTTATTTATATCTTTGCCCCCTTATTCATAGAAATGTGAAACTTCTAATAAACCGGCTTTAGCTATTAAAGTAGTTCCATCTCTTACTTTCCAGCTAATCTATGCATTGGAAATAAAGCGACAAAATACTAAACAATTACGTTTATTGAAGGATTAACATTTTTATGAATAAAGTGGTTAGTTTATCAATCTTTTCGAAGTAAATATTCCATTATACGACTATTTCTCAGACCTTTTAATTATTTTCGAGATTCTCGTGTCAGGCTATAAATGTGTAGTAAATTACGTTTAACATTATTAACAATTAAGAAGACTAGTAAATGGTAATGTGATGGAGCAAAAGCAGCTAAGGTTAGGGGATGATCAAGGTCACTTCATTTCTAAACATTATAAGTCACTATAAAATGCGTTTTAATCAATGTACGTAATTTATGAATAGGATATTTTATTTACATTGTCGTATGAGGTATTTTTAACAGCACTATATTTTAACAAAACTTAACATTTTCACATGCCTGTTAACAGAAAAACAAATATAATTTTCAAAAGACCTATTAAATTTCCCTAAATGATAAGCTCCTCGTTATGTAGTTAGTTTTATAATAACATTAACGATTGAGAATTATATCTCGTTCAAAGAATATTTATGCTATAATGTGAATGTTTAATCGTTGATTATTATAATCTGTTTTAATATGATTTATTAAAATAGTAAACTAACAGTAAACTACGTACCATTTTAGAATGAAGACGATAAAAAGACTTGGTATAATAAAGGCGACGGTAGAAAACAGTAAAAGCCTAATAGAACAAGCTCGAAAGTTTATGAATAACGAACAGTATGACCATAATGTACAACACGATGTGTTCATTTAATGAAATGTACATAATAGTGATCTGGAAAATGGACCTTATGTACTTGTTATAAAATTATTTTTAATTCATGTTCAGAATTTATTTCCTATCTAGGCTTTACTTAGATTAGAAGACACGGTATGATAGTTTAGGCGAAGGGTGCTGAAGCGAAGTTTCATGGATCGAATGAGAATTACATTATTCAATTTGAAGAATTAATCTAACCATCGCAGCCCGTTCTCTTTTGTATCTCTATCTATTACAAAATGAATCTAGTAGTAAATACACTATTGCTAGTTAATAATTTAATTAATAATGCAAAATTGTCATAACAGAACGGACTTCTTATTATCATAAGTTACGATTCTATATCTAATCACATAACCCTCGCTCTCTCGCTGTCGCCAAAAATAATGATGTATGAGATTTTACGATTAGAAGGCATTGTTGAACCAAACGAGGGGAACACATTTCATTAAAGCACTATTTCATGTACATATTTACAGACAGGAATTTAATAACATTTGGATATATGTATTGAGACGGTCGGGTACAAATTATTGCTCGGTTGATTGTTTGCAAATATCACTTTTATCTGTCAGGAGGGGGTAGCTTGGTATCCTCGGGGTCGAGGGAGAGGCACTCGCGTAGGTAATCCTCCATCGAACGGTATACGTGCTCGATAACTCCTTTTAGGTCATGCCCTTCGTCAGCGTAAGCCTGAAAAAAAATTAATTTCGTTTATTTTGATTAAAAATCATGATTTTATTAAGATTGTTTGGTAATGATTTCAAATATTCGCCAGAGGAAGATTTTTTAGAAATGTTCTATCTTTTATATCTTTATTAAATTCGTGTTTCCACCATGAAGTAGCTGTATTTTGGTTTAACGAGTAAAACATGGCAGTGAAATGTCAGGCTATGGAGGTTTAACATCTAAGTCCTTCAGGACTAGAAATGCATGATGAGTACTATGGGTATCAGAGTTTATAGGTGACGGTTACTATTTTCAATCAGGTAAGCCGTCAGCTTGTTTACACCATAAAAAGAAATGCTGGCCGAATTTAATATGGTCGAGTGGTACTTGCTCCATAACAAAATTCTTTATCAAGTCGGGGATTATAGTGGTGAACATATTTATTTTACGCGTATTCGCTGAAATAATGCATAAAATATTTATAAGAAACTGTGGTTGAAGTACTAATAAGACAATATCAGAAAAATTTGTGAACATCTAAGTCAATAGAAAAGCTAAAAAAAAAATGAATAACATCAGGGACTGTATGGTGATATTGGTACGTTAGGAATCTGGTTAGGATGAGCCATAGGATGGTTTTTGGATTAGATTTTGAGAAGCTCACTTGGTATCGGAAAAGTACGCCAGCGTCGGTGAGCGCGCGCGCGAGCTGCAGCGCGTGTGGGTAGGGCGCGCTCATGTCGGCCATGCCGTGCACCAGGTACAGCGCGTGCGGCGGCACGTGGTGCGCGCGCTGCGACGCGTCCGCCTCCACGTAACCTTTGTAGTTCACCGACGGCTGCCCTAAGATCCGCTCCGTGAACGCCGCGTCTACAAACGTAATGATCATTATTAATTTATGAGATTATAAGTTTCCCTCAGCAGCATCATATCATCATAACAGCCTTTAAGTGTTCACTGCTCATAAGCCTCCCCATAAGGGAGTTTTGGGAGTAGTTGCTACACTTGGCAGGCGGTTTGGCAACAGCAGTTAGGCTTTGAGATGTTAAAAGGGACGCTGCTGCCCATCCCTTGCCCTCTGTTAGTCATCTCTTTTCGTTAAGTAAAGCGTTTGTATTTTGCCTTTAGTTTTAGCAATATTTAAGAAGCTGATTATGTAAGCAACATGTTTTATATAAACCATAATGTTTAGGCAGAAGGATCAAAATTTTCGATGACATAGAATTCAAAATTAAAACTCACTGTAATAAAGCCAATCGGTGATTGGTGAGACGGCGATGCCACATTTGAGTGTCGATTGCTGAGAGCCAAGCAGCATGGCAGTTACGTATCCGCCATAACCCCAGCCCCACACTGCGACGCGGGTTACGTCCAAAAATTTGAAAGTGTCTAATAAATATCTGAAAATGATAAACAACATTTGTTAGTAGAATAATAAATAAATGACGATTAATAATTTCGTTGGAAAATTATGTATGTGTGAATAAATTACATTAATTTATTTTTTATTTCTTTAAGAGTCGAAGCTACTAATTCTCTATACTTTATACGTCTTTAACCTCCTTTATTCGGCGTTTTACCTAGTATTATTATATATATGTTATATATACATATATATTGTTTTTAGATCTTTCTCATCCTCTTTTGTATTCTATTTTGAAAGCAAATTAATTTGATTGTGAATTGATTTGATATTAAACTGAATCCTTGAAGTTGGTTCGTAAAGCAGACGTTGTGATGAATCTTCAATGAATAGAAGTGGTTTATTTTATTGATTTTCTTACTTCCGTAATCTACGCGTATGAAGTTGAGGGTAAATAGCTTGCTCTCAATATATTGATATAAAATTAGATCAGCATATAATATAGAAAAAAAGATGGAATTTAAGTTAGTAAACATTTCTACAAATGTTTATTTTATAAAATGTTTCATAAAGAGATGGTAACTTTGCTTACGCTATCGGTTTACGCTGATTGAATACTGGTAATGAATAATAGGCGAGGAAATAGCTGATAATCATAGATACTATTTATCAATTAATTCAAACGAGTAAAGTTATAGGTTACAGTACCTAATAACAGCCAACTGGTCTGCGACCTCGACACCCCCGAGGCGACCTCGCAGCAGTGCCCGAGGAAGGCCCCTAGCGCCCGCCACGTCCAGCTTCACGTAGACTACATCGTTACGCGACGACATGTACGAGCCCCAGTCCACCAGGAACTTCTCCGTCACCTGTTGGCTGCCAGGCCGTCCGTCTCTGGTGAATTAGCACAAACGAAAAATATAAGCATTAATTTATTTATTGTAGTGAACTCCGGTTAAAAAAACTCAATTTATATATCTCAAACAAAGTGCGGAATATTTTAATTACTGCAATAGATAGAACAATTTTTTTTTTAGTCAAGATGTAGCATTTTATTACGCTTTTTGTGTCAGAATAGCTGCCTTGGTATTGCAAAATAAACAGTTATAAAATAAATATATTGCTATATAACAAGAAAATATAAAATAATATAATATCAAATAATACCTAGGCGAGATGCACAAAAAAATTAAAAGATGTATATTAATTTATTTTTACATTTATTATATAAGTAGGTAGGTATTATATGTATTTATAGTATATGTATTTATGTAATTTTTTATTATATATTTTAATATTTTATTTAACTGTATATTTGTTTATGTATTAATAGTTATAGCATTTCAGCTGCCCGTTAACGAAATGCTTTCTTACTGTACTGGGTTGACTGGAAGAGATCTCTGTCAGAGATAAGTCCACCCTCGCTCACAACATTTATAAATACATTATTTTATATGTAACTTACAATTGCAATAAAGAATATATGCTATTTTTGTTATTTATATTAGGTATTTAATGAGTGTAATTAAGAATAAATATGAAATGCAATAAGGAAAAACACACACAGGTTTATATCACTTTCTAACTGTTGCTCTGTTTTTTTTTTTTATTCTACTAAAACACTTAGTAGTTGTAATATTTAAAATTGTAATAATTTTTTTGATGTGTCTACTGCACGTAAATTTTGCTTACACGTGAACGAGAACTGGGAAGGCAGCGTCGCGCAACTCTTCGCGCCATGAAGGCGGTAACAGCAGCTGCACTCGGGCTTTGGAGCCGCTGCTTAGTTGAACGTCGAACGACCGTCGCGTAGGTAAAGCTAACTCGCGCAGCCGAACCGATCTGATGAGTACACAAATATTGAAATTTGTTGTATCCTGCTGCTACACCTGCGTCAATCAGTATGTAAAGAATTCTTTGTGCTAAGTTAGGATATATCTTAGCGCACCGTTCAATAGTTTTTGGGTGAAAAAGTAACAAATATCCAGCCATCTAGCTACAAACTTTTATATTTATTATAATGATAGGATTAAGATTACAAACTACACTTATATGGACTTCTATGTTTCCTTCCAGTAAAAAGTAAGTCCTAATAATTATTTTTGTGGTACATATTAGAATATTTTATTTAAGTTTTATTATATATATTGATAATTTATATACATTAAGATTAATACTTAATGTACAGACTTGTGTGAAGAGTACAAAAGCAAAATAATTTTTAAAATACTTTATTATCACTGCAGGTGTTACAATTTTTATAGTAGGTTTTATTTTAGGTAATTTATACCTAGACACTCGATGCATTATTTAAGTATGACCTTAAGTTAAAATAGAAAATTGTCTTCTGAAGATTTTTATTGAAAATAACCCTAAATAATCAGCATAATTGAATCATGAACATACCTATAAGGCCTCGTGTCATACAATATTCTCTCTAGCTTATGTGTTCTAGCATCATGTAATCCTGCAAGAGGGGGACCGGGACCGCCGCATTCTAGAACATAATGCGATATTCCAACTCTTGGTTTTGGCGGCGAGAAAGTGGCTCTCCAATAAGAGCAATTGGCGTAGTGTAGTCGAGCTGGCCAGACGGCCAGTTCACACGTAAGGCACCGAGGTTCCTCGCGCTCAGCCCGCGCTCTCACAGAGTTACTGCCGCCACCATAGCTCGGGTCCCGGACAACGTACACATGCCTCTGACCCGGTCTCTCTGCGCTACCTGTATACATCCCCAACATCAGTACTAGCTCAGACACGAAACAAACCAAATTAATTCGAAAACAAGACGTTCACAAAAAATCACACAATATCCCTATAATAATTTTACTGTATGATCGTGCTTTGCCTTTTTAAATAGGAGGGATGGAATGGGTAGTTTTAGTTAATGTGACAGTAATGTAAGTTAGTCATAAATCACTACTTATACCAAAAATATCACTAAGCTGCACTCAAGTTTAATACTTAATTTGATTAGCTTCTTTCACCATATCTGGATGCAGATTTGGTATGTACAACTTTTCTTTGTCTAAACCTTTAATAAAAAAAAAGAAAAATAACACAGTTTTTTTCATACATCTATTGGGTTGTGTTAATAATAGATTAAAGTTATGTCTTACCTAAGTAATAAACTAAATGATTATCCTGGTCCCACGCCAGGATCTCGGCTACCTCAACCTTGCCATGTGAGAGCACAGCGATGCGTTGTCGCAGCACATCTACGTGTTTGATGTGTGTGTAATATTGCCCGCCGCCCTCTTGCACAGCTGCTAACAGCAGGAATGCGCTACCATCCTCTGAATACACCGGCTGTTGATGAACTTCTAACCATGGTTCATCTGTTGCTTTTTCTGAATGCGTCTGTAAAATGTAATATAGCTATTAATATTAATGTGCACAATTAATAAGTTTCTACCATGATTATTTATGTATTTATTTATATGTACAACGTGATATGTACAACGTAATATGAAACTTTGTTAAAATTTCATGACTGTTTATAAAGTAATTAATATGTCATTAAAATCTATAGATAGTATTGAAAGCGTTATATATTCTTTGGTGCGTAAGTATAAGAAGTATATATTAGTTTTTTTTTTGTAACCGACGCTTTATCCCTTATGAGATAAAACAAAGCAAATCGAGTATTATTATTATTAATTTAGAGATCAATATGATCTCTGTAAGAATAAAATGTTGAATACCTCAGTGCAAGTCCAGTTAGGTGCATAACAGCTGCTATATACAGTAAGATTTTGCGCACGGTTCATCCACACTACCCCTACATGAGAATTGTCTTTGCCCACCCATTGGGCTGATATGAGGTAATATTCCCTGGAATAAGACACAAAAATTACGAAAAGAAACTCTCATGTGTAGAACATTAAATAACTTTATCGGATACATACATTCCATCCAATGTTCCCGGAGGTCTAACTTCCCATCTCGTTGGAGAAGTCGTGTTTTCTACTACCACTATCCATAACTTCACTTTAGGTATAGAACTGCCAGGCTGGAATAAATTCATTTAGGTATATAATTCTACGTTGATTCGGGTATCTAGTGAGGTTGTATGAAAGAAGAATTACGAAATTTATCAAGTATAATTGAACGGGAATGTCGGTAGGGGTTGTATCTCGACCCAATAGGCGATGTGTTGAAGGGTCAAATTAAAAGTACCCGTAACCAGTGAGCGTGTATGAGTAGATTGATGAATGTGGAGGAAGTGAAAGAGGTCTCTTTGAATCGGAGTATTTGGCCTTTCATTATTACCCCAATGGATGATGAATGTGTATGTATGTATATAATTCTACACTATTATGTTTTAATACCAATGAGGAAAAAAGTGATGAATCACATACATACTTGTACCTAGTCGTAAAGAGATGCCGCAAGTATCTCAATTTATAAAACGAAGCCAATCTTTATTAAACTATTTGCCTTGTCACACTAAATACGAGTATTTCTAAAAATACCAACTACCTATAATGCTATTTTTATCAATTTTATAATCTTTTTAAAGTTATTTAAGTATAATTTAAGTTCGTTTTCTAGTTAGTTAAATCAACATTACCTACTTTTAACCTTAGATTATATGTAGCACGTTATACTATTTGCTTTTAACTTACCGTTGGGTATCTGATAGTTATATGATCAGGGAAGACTGAAGCCAGACTATTATTGTTTGTGGGTAGTAGGAAACCGGACCTGGCGGCGCCGGCTCCACCGATCCCCTCGGAGATCCGAGGAAATCGAAGCTCCGAGACCGCACTATCGTCATACTGTGCATACATTACGAGTGTGCCGTCAGAAGAGCCCCAAGTTGCAGATGGGGTTTTCGTCACCTCCTCTGTAAACCGTATTCAAACAATATTGTTATTGTACTAAATTAGTCACAAGTGTACAACTATTAATATAAAGAGGAAATGTTTCATTTAAAAAAATATTTCATATACAGAAAATTACACTATACGCGAGTAAAATGGGCTGTATTTTATTAAAAAAAAAAAAAATAGAAATCCATATTCTACCTGCCCGTGCGAAGCCAGGGCAGGTCGCTAGTGTTAAATTAATTAATTCGATCTTTTTTATAAATTAACCACAAATATCAAATTCATCCAAAGTTAGAGAAACGTAGAGCTTATTTTATTTTCAACTGACTTAAAAAAAAGAAGGTCCTCAATTCCGTTGCATTTATTAAATGTTTGTTACCTCAAAACTTCGTCATTGCAAATCAATTTGAAAATGTTTTTATCTGAAATGATATGCTTTCAGATACGACCTTTCAAGGACACGACCTACACTAATGAAGTGCACGAAGAGAGGGATGCTTTCAGATTAGTCTCATAGAAATTTTATCAAAATCGGTTCAGTAGTTTAATTATTAAATCAAAATAGTGCTTTTGCCACAATTTAAGAAGGTTTTATTTGTGGAACAGAATCTTATACTTACGAGTACTTAATATAGATTATTCATAAATTTTTAATAATAAAAAGGTAAATATTTTTTTCGACACAGACTTTAAAATATTTATCTGCTTATCTCGTAAGTGACCAAGTTTGAGTAAATATATAGATAAAATATTAAATTATTATAATAATTAAAATTAGATTTTAATTAATTTACACAGATTTTACGTAAAGATAAATTTAATGTATTTACAGTTATTTATTATACTTACTTCTGGAGATTTTACTAATTAGTAAAGTTTTGTATACCCTTGGGTAAGTATCAGTTTAAGAAATTCATTAGAAATATGTATATATGGCATCTAGATTAGATATTGCTAAGGACTTATTTCTAACTTGCAAGGGCTTTGTCACCCATATCATCACCCATTCCAAATGTATAATTGTATCTACATATTAGACACGTCAAAGATCAGCATGAATAAGTTTTTATGCGGACCTTGGTATAACCAATCGGAGACCCCATTGTATATGCGCCCAGGGGCGGCGTCGTTGGTGAGGCGCAGAGGCGGCGCACGGCGCGCCGGCGGCCCGGGCCTCGCCAGCACTTCGTTATCCGCCGCCAGCAGTAAGGCCCCGTCGGCGCCGAGCCACGCCGCGTACTGCCACTCCCAGCTGCTTTGGCCGTCGCCAAACAGCGGTATGTGGTGGCTGGTGATAAATGGTCAATGTCAATGCTGTTGTCGATGTTTAAGTACAAATAACTTTTAACATGGCAAAATTTTGTTTTTCAGGTGTCACAGAAAATATCCTAATACTAAATTTATTTCAAATACGATGAAACAAAAAAGTTAATAAATTGGTTTGAATGGAAACTCTTATGGAATATCTTGATGCGATAATGATTTATTTATGTAATATAGAAAAGGGGATAAGTAAGTCAGATATCTACAACTGTTTCATAAATATCAGTTAGTAGGTATAGGTGGTTAAGCGTTGGGACCATCTTTTAGTTATGTGAGGTTATTTTTTAATTTGGACTCTTCTTGATTGCGATTTTAAATAATTACAGTTCTCGATTATTTAATTTAAAAAATATATAAAATATTTTAATTCAGTAAATTAACAATTAGTAGAATGCTAAATGCGAAACACGATACTCATAACGGACTGTGAAATTTATGTCTTAAATTTTTTTTCTTTACTGATTTATGTGAATTCGGGGTTAATTGTAGATGGCCTAAGTTATGTTACATACTACTAGTAATATATAGAAAGGAAAGTGAGTCTATCCGTCAGTCTTAAATTAAATTATTAATACGATTTATTTAAACATTGGAAGAGAGTAAGTGAAACCCGATAATAAGCATAAAGTATAAGCAACTGTTTATACAGTTTTATTAAAATAATAATATCAATACATATGTTGTAATAAGTATTCTTAAGTGTTTATGTTTAGCACAAAAACCAATGGGGTTATGGATTCGGTTTAATAGTTCAACCTGTTTTAGATTATGTATAGGCATATTACATTAAAATTTCACATATACAATATACAGATTTCATATCGTTTTGTAGTTATATTTTATATTTTAATAATAGTAACATTGTTACTTTACTGGAATCGCGATAGACATACCAAATCATATTAAAATTCTACACACAAAAATTGAAATAAATCGAAAATCGTATTCACGTAGGTTACTACCGTCAAATCGATTTCTTCATCGGCAAGAGAGCGAACGAAAGGAAATTTCACAAAGAAGATATCATTATGATTGTAAAAAGAGCAGTGGACGGAAAATGAATAGCGACTTTTTAAAATTACTCTTTTAAAGAGGGTTAGGATTATGATACTTGAGATTACAATGAAATAGATATCGTATGCTTTGGTTTCACTCTGATATACATTATTTATTTATGTGCTATTTAAAAGATTGTGTATAAAGGAATATTGATCAACCTAATTAATTAAGTTCTCGAACCTTACCAAATATATTTAGGAATCGGAATATTTGATTGTAAAATTCGGTCACAATACCAGACTTAACTAAACTAGTTGATTTAGTCAATATGAATTTCAATTACTTATTCACTTGCGTTTGCCAATCTCTAAAATGCAAGGCAGCCAATCAAAACAGAGTACCTGCTATTGATTTATATACACATTATATTATTTTTGTCCTTTCTTTTCATTTTTGGTAACTTAAGGTAAATGTTTAAAATATTTTATAAATATAAAATAATGATTTTATTAAAAAAAAATCGTAAGAAATCGGGGCGGGTTGCTATTTTAAATAATTAGTATTAATTAAATATACACATATATTGACTAAATATTGCCGTGAGTTCAATTTCCTCATCATATCGACTTAATTAAGTAGGCACATTTATATTAGTCTCTTTTACATTTTTTATTTCCCTTTACTGAGATGAAGGGGGTAAAGCTTCAGTACGTTGTTAAAATTCCAACCGAAACAGATAAATTTATGATGAAAACGAATTGAGATCGTGCAGACATTTTATATTCCACCAGCAGGGAAACACACTTTCATCCATCGTGTTCATTTATTATATAGCATGACGCAGATGATAGCATTCTAGTATAAAGATTTGAATAGTGTTATTTTTCATACCACAATTATATAGAGGAGTGAAAATCTGCCGTGCCCTTGTGTGAAGGTGCGGTGAGTGAAAACCAATTTGGGAATATGAAATTCAATTTGCAAGCGGAAATATAAAATTATGAGAATCTCGAGGGCCGCCGACACGACCTTTATTGTGGGTAAAATATCAAAAGTAACTCACTCATTTGTGACGTCATAAACTGTGTAGTGTGCCGTAAATGTCCGCCGATAAACCTGTAAAATAATAAAAACTTAAATAACATCGTTCGTCCGCCGCACCGAACTTTGTAACGATCGCCTTGTTTATTTTGGAAAAAACCAATTAAAACTTTAATAACGCAATTGTTACCGACCTCCTTGATATTGTGTTGAAAGAGAACGTAGCGCAAGTTCGGCGAGCATTGGTATCCTCGCACATTCAGCTGCCGCTGTGGGTAAAATATTTTAATTTTAATTTTTTAATAAAATTTTATTTTATGTTCAATAATTCTCTGAATGATGTAGTTTATAATATTTAATTAAAGAAAGATACATTATAAGGCAAAAACAGAGATTATCACTAAAAAAATATTTTTTTCGTATTTTATTACAGTATGGAGAATATAAGTTAAGATTTTAGGTGACCTTCTGTAATTTAGGGGCTATATTGACCCTATGTTGACAAATAGCATATAATTAAGTAAAACCATTTTGTATAATAATAATTTTAAAATACACACATTTCTCCACTTCGATTTCTGTGTGTATCATGTTGACAATCCGTGATAACGTGCTGACAGGGAAAATATTGGTACTCTGTGGTGGACTGCACCATTCAGTAGAAGGCGTCTTTAATGTCTTCTCTTCGTCGGTGAAATTGTATTGTACACGTGTGTTGGTATTCTATAAACACTTACTAGAGTGTGATTGGTGACGAGCACGGAGAGTGTGTTGTTGAATGTATCTAGCGCGAGTAGACCTCCGTCGTCCGCCTGGTAGACGAGCTGGTGTGAGCTGACCCACGTGGTTGGCAGCCGCTCGCCCGTTAGATCTCCGCGCAGGAACTCGTCCAGGCGCATACGTCGACCCGACCAGTACAATAACTCGTCCACATAACTACAATACACATGAATATTTTAAATACATATTTTCCAACTTCATTAAAAAAGTCTTCAGTAAGATGCCAAAAGAAATCTTGGTTTCATTGATGACTATTTAGTAGGTTACCTAGTAAATTATTAAATTTCGGAGTAAATTACAGTGTTGATTACAATCGTGATTAGTCGTAGACCAAATTAGTACTCTAAATATTATAGCGTTATGTATAAATGCCACAACACTTAGCTGAGTGCCCTTTTTGTCACATAATTCCTAATTAGGTATAAGTTTATTTTTGTATTTCCTTTTTAAGTTTATATTTGTTTATATTTTATTTGTAATTGTAATTGATGTGCGCCATATAAATATTTTCTTTCTTTCAAATATTTTTTACTTAAGTATATAAATAAAGTTATAGTCAAAAGTTTGTTTTTACAATAGTAGCAAACTTAGTAGTAGCTCACCCTAATAAATAAATTGCTGTGACGATGCCGGCTATAACAAAACTGATGACCATCAATGAAAATATGATACTTCTCCAGTTGTGACCATCCCCTTGGTAGAGATCCTAGAAGAGAAATTTAAAATGAACAAGGATTTTTTGAAAAATATGGAAAATGTTATTGGAATCGGACAAATATACTATCTTTGTTGTTGGTGATGAGTTGTAGCGTAAACATACGTTCTAGGACACTTTCGTTATATACGAAGGCCTCTGACGTGCCAATGAACATCACACACACAGATTCTGAATTTAACTGTATTTTTGCGACATTTTTAACCGATTAGAACATTCTTTTTGAATTTGCTTACGTTTGTGTTGAAGTAATTGTTTTTTGTGGTTCAAATTATTATTTTACTTACGTCTTCCTTGGCGGACTTGGGGTCGGCGACTTGCAGCGTTTCGTCGGGCGGGAGGCGCCAAGAGCCGCCGCCGCCGCCGCCGCCCGAGCGGTCCGTGTGGCCAGTGGCGTGCATGCGCCGCCGCCGCCGCCGCTGCCGCGCGCGCACCCGCCACCGCGCCGCGCTACGCGTCTGCGATCGCCTCCGCGCCCGCTTCCGCGATCGCTTGCGCGCACGCCCACGTGACCGCGCTCTTCACTCCTCTCGAAATTCGCCCCATCACTACGAAAAAATATTAGTATTTATTAATTGTTTAGCTTTATGATGATCACGATTTTACAGTGAAGTGATAAAACTAAGGTACATGACCGAATTCAAGTGTATATGCGTTTATTTGAATTTTTTGTCCGTAACCGAGTTGTTTAGAGTAATTTAATTTTATACTTCAAGTAAAGGACAATTATTGTAGAAATGTACTTGTTTGACAATTTATTGTAATGTTGGAGGGTTAAACTTTTTTAATTCAATATTTATTTAGGCAGTGACCTTTTTAAATTGCCTTGGTTTTTTTTATGTTATGGTATTTATTACTATTATACTTTCATTTAATTTCAGACGGTTTTTATTTAAATTAAAATTTTATCTTTTAGTCCATCTGTACTTCTATAGCATTATAATGGTTTTTCACACAAGTTAGTGAACTCTTCTATACTAATATTATAAATTAGCAGTATCAATAAAGTTCATTAGAAAACAAGAGAAATCCTAAAGAATTATTAAAATTAATATGTAGTATTGTACTAACTCCATTTATGGGGAAGGCCGATGTTCAGCAGTGGATAGTTATGATGATTATGGTTGTATTGAGTATAAAGTTTATATGCAATATTCAGATAAGTAGTATTTCAGTAACCATTCTGCCACTTATTTCTCCATTCATATATTCTAAGTTAATTTGAAGGAATTGCTTTAAGGAATAGGTCCGCTTGTGTTCTGTACATATGTATATGATTTTATAACAATATTTTATTGTATGTAAGTTTAAACAAACAAACAACCAAATGATTGTGTCTAGAAGAGTTACCTACTAGATAATTTGTTGATAGTTTGAGCAGGCGCCCTATGTCGATACGATGGAATGAAGTTGGAGATCGGCCAACGCTCAGCGCACGCTCGCGCTCTCGGCACACTATACATTTTCTCGACAGCAACTTTACGACTCTGTAAAACTTATTCCAACTGCTCTCTGATTCGATTTTTTTAGATAGATGCCGTTTTTATTACAAGTACATTCTGATCAGATTGTGTGTACAAAATTAGAAGAATCGTACACTTCAAACAACGCTACAATCGACTCGCCCGTTGTAATTTAGCTTTATCAGAATGCGAATTTGCTCATTTGGTAATAATATTGCTGACTAAGCATTTTCCTTTTTTTTAAGAAATTAAGCAGACCAGAGAGCTTTAATTGTAGTTTGCGGTGGGAATAACTGCGCTAAGGCTTTCCCCGATTTTTATCTCGACCGCAAATGTTGGCTCTGTTGAAATTATTCCCGGAATGAAATGTCGGCACGACGGCAAAAAAAAAAGAAAAATTACGAATAATGTAAAAATAACGTTCAGAATAGAAATTTTAAATTAAGAAAAATGTAAGGAACTACATAGATATTAATACTTTCGTTAAAAAAATAAAAGTACTTAGTCGAAGATAATTTAAGTAACGTAACCTTTTGGAATAAGCGGCGATAATTTCTAATAATACATAAATATTTTCCTTTCAGACATATAACTTTTGTAAAAATCTTAACTCAGTACGTTCAACCATCGAGCCTTAAGTTGAACGTTTATTCAGTATCTTTCCGAAAGTTGTGAGCTCTCGGCTCAGATTAATGGTATGCAATAGACCAAAGCGGCGCAGGACAAAGTGTTAGTGAGCTCCAGTTTGGGCATTAACGGTGTTTCTTATAATTATCTCTTGGCGGCTTTGGAGTCGTTTTATTTGAGTCTTTATGGCCTCGACGACCTGAGAAGGCTCTAGAGGATTGATGTAGCTGCAATGCAGATGTGAAATTCGATGCCGTATATTTTACAATTACAAGTAGGTACACTAGAAAGACATATTCCGTTGGCTGGAAATGTTTGGCTATGTAAGTTGGTGGAAATAAAATGGACTTTGAAGTTGCTATCTGACTGAAATGATGAAAAATGGTAGGATTTTCAAGTTGCGCTCTTTCAATTACTTTTATTTATTTAAACTTATTTGAGGAGGGATTGCTATATTTAAAAGTATATATTAAAACATTGTAATATATTATATTATACTCTTATGTAATTAAACCGTAGTATTTGTCATTTAATATATAATTGTGGAGCAGCCTACTTGTACCTATTAAACTTTTTTTTTTAATATATAAACATCTCGTGTAAATAAAATATATAATAGCGTAATTTATATACAACAAATAAATAGCTGTAAATTTAGCTAACTAGGGCACTGTATAATCTTTAAAATACCGTATTTATCATTATACTATATAAATAGTAGAAATGAGCGCATATATACATTTTTTACCTACCCTCTGATAAACACGTAAAAGATCGACGGCCATGTTGTTTTGTTTAACTTTAGTGTTGAATTATACAATAGGGGACTATGGTGGCCTATCGTGTGATACACTGCGGCTGCCGGCTATTCGAATTAATTTCAGCAGTATTAATGTATCGGTTGTCACTACATCGTAGAATGTTTATTCCTGGCTGGCAGCCAGTGTTCCATTCAATTTGCTGATTCCAATAGCGTGTAGAACTCGCTTGAACAGAGTAATTTTTTTAGTACGCCATAAAAACGATTAAAGCTTGTCCTCTTAATGCATATATAAGAAAACGGAATGTCCATAAATACAACTATTAAAGCTTCATACGAATGTTTATATAAATGGAAAGGACTCATTAACTTCTGGGATCTGAGCCAAACCAAAGAGAACTTAACGTAAAATTAGACACTCATTAGACAGTAAGTAGTTTAAGATAAAATACTTTTTAAAAGAAGATATAAATAAGTATGATTAATACGCAAATGTACGAGCACTTTAATAGTATACATTTATCAACTTAAATGATTTGTTGATAAATTGCTGTCTATATAGGTACGTGTAGGTAACTTACATTTCATTCAAATGAAATACAAACAAAATTCTATTTTCGAGTCAGTATATATAAACTAACTGTATTCCGCAGTTTCGCCCAAAGCAATACCGTATTGAATATTGAATGGCCTTCCTTCTTCAAGAAAAAGCTATCAAATGCAAGAGTATTCTGTTCAAATCCGGCTGCTAGTTCTAGAGTTTGGCGTGTTAAAATAAACAAACTAATTCTTCAGATTTATATATAATTTGCATGCTTTCTACAAGCTGAATATGGAACTATTTATTTATCCAATAAGAACTTTGTTATCACTAATTCAAAGCAATTTATATTTATATTTATAGGTGAGGTTTATGATGCTATTTTCAACGAAAAAGATAAACATAGAAGCGCCTATTAAAGTATATACAACTGATATTCAGAGTAAATAAATAAAGTATCTCCCTAAAGTTTTTGTAAAAAAATAAATCTTTTAATAAAAGACCCACACAGAGTTTAAACTGTTTAATGAATCAAAAAGTTTGAAGCACGAAAGTTTAGAATTAACGAGCGTTTACTGAATGAAGTCGCGTGAATAAATCATGTAAGTATATTGTGAGTACGCTTCTACGGCACGGGTCATATACTGTCATGTAATAGGTATATGTTTATATGTATAATTATTTCGATAGAGCAACCATACCAGAGGAAGACTTCGTACAAAAGTCGATTGCTTGGGTACCTCTGTCCCATTTGTGTTTCAACCGTGAAGCAGTTGTGTTTGCATGGCTGTGTTTCGGTTTGAAGAGTGGGATATGGCGTGAATTTACTGTGTACAGAGGAATAACACCTAAGTCCTCAGAAATGGCAACGCATGGTGGGTATCATGGGCGAAATTGTACACTCTGGTATGTCCACGGTACAGCTCATTTCTATAGGCAACGGTTACCACTTTCCATCAGGTGGGCTGTCAGCTTGTTTGCCATTCTAAGTTGTATAAAAAAAAACCTATATTTAACTTCTAGTAAACTACGTTCGTTTAAATTTAAACAAATTTCAAGTGCAATCATAGTTTATTAAACCAATTAGTAAATTTTTGTATTTATATTTTTTTATGCAACTTAGAATGGCAAACAAGCTGATGGCACACCTAATGGAAAGTGGTTAACGTCGCCTTTAGACATAAGCAGTATCATGGACATAACAGGGTATACTGTTTCCCATGCTACCTCCCATGCGTTACCATTCCTGAGGACTCAGGTGTTATTCCTCTGTACCCTGCAAATTCACTGACATGCCTATCCTTCAAACTAAAACACAACCATGCAAACACGAAAATTATGTATTAGAAGTAAATTATAATAATGTTTTGTTGTAATAAGTTATATTTGCAGAATAGGGAGAATACATGAATCTATAAATAAGGTAGTATTACTTCGACTTTTTATCATATTAATCAAAATAAATTGTGAGAGCAGTAAATACTGCATGTATATTCTTTTGATATCGAAAACGGAGAAAGAATATCAAATGTTTATTTTATCATTTAAATATTTTTTTAGTTGAATAATTATATTTACTTAATAACTATTTATAGAATCATTTTATTAGACTCTAAAACTCTAAACATGTTGTATTAAACAAATTCGTTGCCAGCCCATGTCTGTTATGTCTTTAGAACGGGTTAAAGTAATTTTAAGTTTTTTTTTTTTTTTTAAGGAAGTTTTATATGTGTGTACATATAATAAATCCAAATAAAACTTTAGATTTTTTTTAAATTTAATTCATTCATAAATATTTTGTATTTAATTGTCATAGTAGGTACAATAAAATTCATATAGTACATAAAAATATAAATTAAATTAAGAAACACACATACAAAAACAAAAATTACAGTCAACTTAGAATCATCTCTTAACACAAACAACATATATATTTAAATTTACGATAGTAAGAATTCGTCATTTGAGTACAAACACCTTTGTAGCAATAACTTTCATTTTGTTCCAAAGATATTTAAATCATTTAGTGACTTTAATTCTTTAGATAGCTTATTTAATAACACCATCGTTTGGTTTCATGGACAATGTTGTACTATTTGTAATATGTAGTCATTTTCATCATTAGTGAGTTGCTTCTGCAAAACGGGGACATGTCCT